GGGGGGGGGATGAGGGGCGGCGCGCACGCGAGGCCAGCAAGATGGAGCCCCTTTTTCTTGCCCCTGACGGGAAGGGCGCGCCTGTCGGCATGGCGGCGCCCGGAATGGGCAGCCTGGGAGCGGGGCTTGAGTTACGAAAAGGGAGGCATGCTTTCGAGGTGTCTTCCCGGCTTAGGCTGGGATGGATGGCCCTGCCCGCGGCGATGGGATGCGCCCGATCCCACCTCGCGAGGCCAGCAAGATGGAGCCCCTTTTTCTTGCCCCTGACGGGAAGGGCGCGCCTGTCGGCATGGCGGCGCCCGGAATGGGCAGCCTGGGAGCGGGGCTTGAGTTACGAAAAGGGAGGCATGCTTTCGAGGTGTCTTCCCGGCTTAGGCTGGGATGGATGGCCCTGCCCGCGGCGATGGGATGCGCCCGATCCCACCTCCTCCCCGGCCACCCCTAGCTCGAAACCCGCGTCGGGCTGTAGCCTTGTCGTAGATTTCAAGCCGCCTTCACGTTTCTCCCCTTATTTCTGTAATATAAGGGGCCCAGCGTGTTATGCCCACAATTGTCTGTGGAAGTCCGGACCCTCATGTTCCTTAGTAGCTGATAGGCAAGCATGGTCTTTTTTGGCAGTAAGGTTTATATTATACCGACCAGTAGCCTTTGATCTTTTAAATAATTAACCCTTTCCTTGTGTGAGAGAACAACTTATTTTCAGTCAAGTGGCTGCTCAGTTGGCGGCTAAATGAGAATGCAGAAGCCCCGATTCACTTCCTTATATGGGAACTGCTTGGAAACTTAGTTTTATTAGCAAATTGATGTAGTTATGATGTACGTGTTGTTCATTCCTGAGATCTCAATACATTGTTGGTAAATACTAAAATACATTTATAAATTATATTTCTGCACCCTTTTAAAAGTTTCTGTTGCAATAATAAAGAGAAAATTGATTAAAAGATAATTCTAATAGCTTTGACACCTGAGGGACCAGAAACTGAAGAATGACCAAGTAAAATAATACAATACTCTGATACAGGACAAATGTTCTGGGATTGTGGAGAAATTCAGTCAATGCAGCACTTACGTGCATACAATTTATGCTCTACCGGTTGCTCAAAAGAAGATATAGCAAATGGGTGAGATTGATTATGCTGTTGAAATAGCCTGCTTCTGGTCAAAAATAGTCTAATTATATTATTTTAATTTAATTTTAGTTTTACCTATATTTTGTATACTTTAAACTCATAATTTTAATTGTGCAACACTTATACAAATAAAGGCTTATAACATTCTTTTTAATTTAAATGTTTCTTATAGCTGCATATTTTGATATTTGCTAAAGTGATACATTTTCTCTCAAGCTGGAATTCTGTTGCTGTGGTTATTAAGATTTACACAACTTGCTGTGGCTAATTGCTGAAATGGTAAGGCAAATCTTAGTTGCCCACATAAGGACATATGCCCACCAGTAGGATTCCAGCCATTACCATTGTTTCAAGGGTGAGGGAATGCTGGGGCTCTGATTTAAGTAAGTACAACATTTTAAGCTCTGTATTATGCACACAGAAGGCCAGAATCCTAAACTGATGTAAGTGCAGCCATGTAACTTGTCATGAGTTTATGGTTGCTGATACTATCACTCATTATTCACTAATCATGTGCCTGGAGTGCTATGGGGATAGATGACTAGCAGCAATTTATACCATTGTACTTGACACAGGTATAATAATTAATACAATTCTGACAAAAGTTTTACAATAACTTGATTTTATTTGTGAGGAAATTTTGTGTGTGTTTTTTTTTTAACCAGTTATGGCTGCCGCTTCAATAGCTAATATTGTGAAGAGTTCTCTTGGTCCAGTTGGTTTGGATAAAATGCTGGTGGATGACATTGGTGTAAGTAGACAATATTTATTATAAGCAGTTATGGTCAGACTCAGACACTTTATGTAACAAACTAATATATCAGAATAGAAAATTGCAATATGTTTTTTATTGAAGCATTTGACATTTGTTTTGGTGCAGAAATTCAGTGCAGTCAAGCTGAAGTGTAGCTCAGAATTAATATTTTACCACACCGTCCTGATTTATTTAGAAGTCACACAATATTTGGGATTTATTGGCAAGTAATGGTACGTAGAAATGCATTTAGAAACACTTAAATTGAAAACTACATTATTCAGTGTAAGTATACTGCACTCATTGGTCCACAGAAAAGTAGTAAGTTGTGTATACTAGGTTACGGGGACTTAAAAAAATTGAAGAGGCTCATAGAAGTGGAAGCAGCAAGTCCAGCCTTCAGCACTTGGTCTGACTTTGGCAAGTGGTGTGCTTTGATCAAACAAGTGTGACACAGAATTAGTTCCATTGCTGGTTTGAACTTCCACATGTGGATGAGGATTGTCCCATTCGTTGTGTGTTGGTTAGTGCTTTGCAGTTCTTAGTATTAAAAGTGAGTCTGGGATTTTTTTGGTTGTTCGCAGTATTAGCCACATAGATCCAAGATAATAAGCTCCCCACTACCCTTCTGCTTTGGAACAGAAAATATGGGGTGGAATTTCATAGGTTTCTTATTTTGTGTAGCACATAAGCCAAGCAAACATTCTCACTGCCCTTCCTTCAGGAAACAGGCCTTGATAGGCTTTTCCTCTCAAGGGTACTCCGGCTACCTTTATGAGGCATGTGCCAAAACAAGCAGCCTGCCTGCCTGCATTTCCCGCAAGAAAAAGTGGGCAGAAAGAAGCTTTGTTGATTGCTCTTAGACAGAAGCATTTGTCTCTGCCAGTGTGGGAGGGGCAGAAATTTGGTGTCTACAACTTTTTAGCTTAGTTAGGAAAAATGGCCTAAAGCTGTATAGTCCTGAGAACTCCCTTGCCAAGTTAGAGTGTACATTCTTTGCTCGTAATCCTCCTTCCTTTCTGTGGTGACTCAAAAATATCCCATTGAGTTCAGCTGAGTTGCCCTTTTCTCATGTTACTATGCACAGAATTGTGATTGTACTGGCATAAATGAAAGATAAGAGAGATGAATAGCACTTTTATTTAAAATACAGCTGTCTGTAGATGTATAGTGAAAAAAGTATTCTTGCTCCGAGGTAGTGGACCCTTGCTATTGCCTGGGTTTCTGTTGTGAATTGAATAATTGTTCTCACTATTTTTATTGAAGTTATTTAACCTCCCAAATCCTGTTGTTATTTTTTGCCCATATAACAGAAGCAACACAACTTCTGCTGGCAAATTGCCACCAATTAAAAGGTCAGCAAAGATACTACAGTGGTGCCTCGCTTGACGAGGATAATCCGTTCCAGCAAAATTGCTGTAGAACGAAATCATTGTCAAGCGAAAGTAAAAAGCCCATTGAAATGGATTAAAACCTGGTTAATGCATTCCAGTGGGCGAAATACCTCAGAAATCCGCCCTAAAACACAGCGGGGAGCGATTTTTCACAGTGGGTGGCCATTTTGAAGACCTGATGATCAGCTGTTTTGATCCTCGTTAAGCGAAAAATTGGTTCCCGAAGCAGGGAACCGATCATCCTAAAGCGCGTTTTCCCTATTAAAACATTGTTTTGCGATCTGCGCCCTACTTGACGGTTACCTCGTTAGACGTCAAAATCGCTTTATGATGAGTTTTTTGCAATCGCTATTGCGATCGCAAAACGATGGTCCCAATGGTTGGTGTTATTATTATTATTTTTTTTGGCTTGACATTGATTAGGAGCCTGCTTCGTGAGCCGTTTGTTCGCGAAACAATAATTTTTCCGGCTCTGCAAAATTTTTCCTGCTCCCTTCGTAAAATGGCTTCCTTCCCTTCTCAAAATAGCTGCTTTCTGGATGGAAGCTTCGCATTACAGCGAATTAGAACAGCTGATCGGCGGTTCTCTATGGGCGATCTTCGCTGGACGATGAGGTATTTCCCCCATTGGAATGCATTGACCAGGTTTCAGTGTATTCTATTTTTTTTTTCGCTTGACGACAATTTCACATAACAGTGATTTTCCTGGAACAGATTATCGTTGTCAAGCGGGGCACCACTGTATATGTTGTGTGCTGACTCGCATGACCACCCAACTAATAACATCTTTGTTGCCTTCTTGTGGCAGGTCACCACCAAAAGTTACACCGTTTGGTTTGTGCACAGAAGTGCAGCTAATACAATTTTGGCCAGCTTCATGATAATTAAACTTGTTAATTTGCATGACCAACTTTTTTGTGTTTGGAATCCCAGGATGTAACCATTACTAATGATGGTGCGACAATTCTGAAGTTGCTAGAGGTCGAACATCCTGCTGCAAAAGTTCTGTGTGAACTAGCAGAACTACAAGACAAAGAAGTTGGAGATGGGACCACCTCTGTGGTATGTGAACTATAAATAAGAGGTTAGGAGTCTTGGGCTGTTGTAAGTCAAGCTTTGAAATCTAAGGGTCAATAAAACTGACATTTGATACATAGAATTATGAATGATCAGAAATGGGTTTGTCTCTATTTTAATAATGAATAGAAGTTTGACCCACAAATCCTAGTCTGATTGTTCAGGTGCTTTACCTTAGAGAACCGAAAAGATATGATATATCTTTGAACAGATTATGAGTCTAGAACAGCTACAAAACCATGTAAGTTTAGCCCTAAATCTGAAGAAAACTTTCCCATTTGACTACCACTTAATTTACACTATAAAGTAAGTGGCTATGCTTATGGGATAAAGAAATGACTGCCAGAGTCTGAAGGAGGAGATTGACTGTTTCTTTTTCCTATATGAAATGGCAGAACATCCTATTAGGTGTGAAACGTGTCAGGAGGAAGTTCACTGTATTGATTTAGTGGTAGAACTGTTTGTTGCAAATTGATGTGATCATACAGCCAAAGGATAGAATAAATTGGGAACAAAGAATCTTGTAGAACTGAAAGAAGCTCTGTTTGAATAGACTTGCATTTGTATGTCACAGGAATGTTCCATCTCACACTTTAAAAGTTAATCAATTCTTTCTTGTATGTATGAAAGCTTTTTCTTGTTTTTCTTTCCTGGTATGTTTACTTGTTCGAAGCTGCTTTGGAATAGCCAAGCCTAAGGACAACAAGAGTAGGTGAAGGGACCATCATTCCCTCCAGAGCAGTTAGAAGTAGCAAATTTCATTTTGCTTGTTTGGGGGAAAAAATTGCATTTGAAATATTGTCTGGCTCAGCAGTGGGATCAGTAGATTAATAGACCAGAGCATGATTCTGTGTCTGTGGCCAAGACAATCTCATAGTTTAACCTTTTCAGGTACTCAGTATCTAGAATCCTCTTTGTCCCTGCCTTCATTTCATATTTAGCTCTATCAATCACTCTTATTTGGTAGTAGAATTACATCCTGGTCAGAATGGTAACAAATAGATATTGGTGCCATTGAAGTGGAGAGAAACTATGTAATTTCGCTGTACTGAGTTGTGTAAGTACTAGGAGTGTATGATGGATGCCTGAATTTAAGACATATATAGGGACTTATTTTCTCCTCTTCTTTTTAAGCAGAACTACAGATCAAGTTTCATTTCACTGGTCATTCATTTTGATTTAGTTTCATTTAGCAATGTGAGGACTAGCTCACCCTGAAGATTTCCAAGGCTAATTTAAATTGTCCTCTCTGCCATAGGACCTCCCTGCATGTTCATACCTTTTGCACACTTTTCATAGAACAGTTGACCGATTGCTAGTTTATGTATCTTCTCTCTCTAACAGGTAATTATTGCTGCCGAGCTTTTGAAAAATGCAGATGAGTTGGTTAAACAGAAAATTCACCCCACTTCCATCATCAGTGGCTATCGTCTTGCTTGCAAGTAAGAAATTGTTTGTGAGCAAAATCTACTGTGGTCAGAGTGTCAGACTTTGTGTATGTGTGTGTGGTTTATTTTGTGTTTTTTTAAAATGAAATATTTAAAGCATGGGGCAGTGAAATATTTTCCCTCATTAATACTAGCTTTCTTAAGATACTGGTTTGCTAAGCAATCCCCACTATTACAAGGAGAATGACTGGGAACCAGAGAGAGAGAGCATTGTCTACATTGGCATCGTGCCTGTGGGATGCTCTTCCCAAGAAAGTTTGCTGGGCACCTGCTTTGCTGTCAATTAGTGCCAAGTAACAACATCTGCTTCCTTGGGCTTCAAGAGATTCAGACAAAGCAATCTTGTATATTAGAATGGGAATTGTACAATATGTGGGGTATATGTTACCTACCACAGTTGCCAAAGTCTGCCATCACCAGAAACACTTCAATTTTAAATTGGGCAGTTGTTTCTTTAGAAGCCTCTGCAGGTATGACTTACCATTGTAATGCCTCTTCATGCAGAAAAGGAGAAAGTTCGTGTTCAGGCAGGTTTTGTGCACAACTGTGAAGAAGCAGTTGTATTGTGATAAAAAGTGTCAAAGATCCTGAACTCCAGCCAACGCTGTAGAGCATCTTGAACACATAGCCTTGGGTTATAGATACCTGGTTGGCATTTCTAAGTGCTATGTTAGTGTGTATGCCTCTTTTGTCCTTCCCATAGCAGATGTCCACACTATAATCATACACACCCGTTCTCATTGGGAGTGCAGTGTAATTCAGTATGCAGTGACTGCACATCTCCAGTAAGACCAAAAAGCTTGTGGCTGTTTATCGGTGCAGCGTGTTTGGTCTTGCAAACAGTGTGCTAAACTGCATGTGAAAACGTGGCCCACGTTTGAGATATCAATCTCTGTTCTTGGAAGAAGGAGAGTATTAAAACAGCATAATTGAGACACGGCATATACATATCACAAAGTGTATGTGAATGAGAGGCATGAGAACAGGGCAAATGAGTGGAAAAGTCAAGTCACATGTATGTTAGATGGTATTGGTGTTCAGTTTTCTGAGACACAGAATGCTGATTGCCCATTGAAAACAGGGTATACATTTCAGAAATACATATTTTAGTTCTTACAGTATTTATGAGAGTAAAATACTATTTCTTGACAGTGGAACACTTGAGAATATTGAATATTAAATTCTTATCTATAAAACTGCTGTTTATATTCAACAGGGAAGCAGTACGTTACATCAACGAGAATCTGGTTATTAACTCGGATGAGTTGGGCAGGGATTGCCTTATTAATGCAGCAAAAACATCAATGTCCTCCAAAATCATAGGAATGTATCCTTTAGTTTACAGTGTAAAGCAGCAATGGCAAACCTATGGCACGTGTGTCACAGCTGGCAAGCAGAGCCCTCTCTGTTGGTACGCGAACCTCTCTGTTGGTACGTGAACGTGGGATTGGAAGACGAGAAATACCCGTCCTCCAATCCCACATTTCGGGAAGAACTCTTGGGAAGGGAGGGAGAGTCAAGATGGCAACGTCTGATGCCTCCACAAACACACACACATAGACACCATGCATGGAAATACCTGGCGCCTGCCAGCTGTGTTTTTTAAGGATTGCAGCCGGAGGCGGGGCAGGGAGTGTCCTGAGGAGGTGTTAGAGGTTCTGCAGTTGGAAGAGTGGGATGTTTCAGAATGGTTGTGGTTGGTTTTGTGTGGCAGTTTGGGCACTCAGGCTCAAAATAGTTCACAATCACTGGTGTAAAGTGTAAATTTGGGACACAGTTTCTCTGCAACATCAAGTACATTTAGGTGAAAATAATGTTTTGTTTATTCTTAGATTTAACAGTGAGAAGGCATAAGGCATGGTTAAATCCCATTGTGAATAGCATTGCCTCGGAATGTCTTTTCAGAGCACTCTCATCTATAAAATGACAAGAGCCTTTGCTCCTGTGAAGCTTTTCTTGGGATTTGTGTTTTTTCATAGCATATATGCAGTAAATTTGATGCACATACCTATATTCACCTTAACAGTGTTCTTTTAGTGACAGTGACTTCTTTGCTAATATGGTAGTGGACGCTGCTCTTGCAGTTAAATACACAGATCAAAAGGGGCAAGCACGTTATCCAATCAATTCCATCAATGTTTTAAAGGCACATGGTCGCAGTCAGAAAGAGAGCATTCTTGTAAATGGCTATGCCTTGAACTGTGTCGTGGGTTCCCAAGGTAAGGTCAGCTTCTTTACTCAACAAAGCAGTGTAATGATTTCAAATGTGTAAAAATTTAGGAGCAAATCTTTCAAGATCTTTCAAGTTAAGTAAGTCACCAGGATGTTGTAAGTCGTTTTATTGCTTACTAAAAATCATACAAGTCGAACTTACAAATTGAAACTTGGCAGCGGTAATCTGCTAATATTACTATGAAGTTTTATGAACATTATTGATGTAGTTGTCATTGGCAGTCTTAATTTTAAGCAGTAGTGCAAGTTTTTAAAGTTTTCCTGACACTTTAAAGCCTTGATAGCAACTGCTAATAAAGTTATTTTCTGCATGCTCAGCCTGTTTGATTTCATTCTGAATCTAGAATGCTGCCACTGATTCAGTGTCTCCAATGGATCTAGTGGGTTAAATATATTTTATTGCACATAATCGTATGGTCAGAGTATGCGTTATTAACTTGATGGGGAGCCATGTTATCCCTCTCACAAGACACAGGATTCTTGAAGCAGAATTCTGTTTATCATCCAGGAGCTGTTGTATGAGATTTTGAAGGGTTCTTTTTGGGTAAGGTGAATCAGAGAGAATGGAGAATTTAAGAAATGAGACCATTTAGAGAGTAAGTGAAAAATACCAAACAGGAGGAAAAAAACAAGAGGGAAAACTGTTCTCACTCTGTATTCATTCAAGAGCTTCTGGTCCAGAGAGCAACGGGTGAAGCCAATCGTTACATTCCATCCAGGGGCTAAGGTAGCAGCAGGCCTTGTACGTATTCACACTAGGATTTTATTTCTCTGTAGCTTATTTGTATTACCAGGACTTCATTCTAAGTTGATATTTAGTCTTGTACTCTTAAAGATATCCCTACAATTGTGTGAATCTTGTTATTTAGTCCAGTGTTTAAGAAGAGGAAATTCTGGAAAATAATAATGCAAGTCTTCTTAACACTGAGAATTTTACACTCTCAGATGCTGTTAAATTTTATTCAAATAACGAATCTTAGGTATGTCTTTCTTTTTCTTTTAGGTATGCCCAAAAGAATAGTTAATGCAAAGATAGCATGTCTTGACTTCAGCCTTCAAAAAACTAAAATGAAGCTTGGTGTTCAGGTGGTAATTACAGACCCTGAGAAGCTGGACCAGATTAGGCAGAGGTATGTTGTGGGCAGCCTTTTACACTAAAATATACAATTCCTACTAGAATGCACAAATTTCAGGGATTTGTATTAAACACATGTAACTTAAAAGTTAGCTGTTTTAGTCATCTATCAAAACATGGTAAAAACAACTGGAGATAATGCAGAGTTATTAGGATTATACTGCAGTCTGTTCCAAATCATAGCACTATTTTTGTTAAGTTGTTGAAAAACTTTAATGTTATTTGCTATTTTGTTACTTTGTTGTTTTTTGTTACTTGTGAACCAACTAGAGTGGCATTGGCTGCCAGATGGATGGTATATAAATCAAATAAATAAATAAAATAAAATTTAGGTTGGCTGTAAAATATTTTAAAGTGTGTTCACAAGAAATGTCAGGAGAAATCCAGATAACCCTTTTTATTTCATCCTCCCAGCACTTTTTGTTTGTTTGTTTTGTTCCATGGCAAAAATCTGAATGGTCTTAGTGGAGCTGTTAAACCATATTTTGGTTCAGTCTTTGAACATATAGCTCAGCTGTGTAAGGAGCTACTCTTGTTATCTGCATTAGTTTAGCACTGAGTTCTATTTCTATTGATTTTTCTTATTTATCGAGTTCTATTTCTCTGTTGCTAGATGGTGGGCTTGGATGAGAAGAAATCATGTCCTGTCTTAACTGACCTATGACTGAAGTGCTACACATGTAGTAGCTTTCAGATTACTGTATATTAGTGTAATGGTTTTAAACATGGAACTAATCCATGTCAAATATTGCATACAGAGAGGCCGACATCACTAAGGAGAAAATTCAGAAGATCTTAGCTACTGGTGCAAATGTTATTCTGACCACCGGTGGCATTGATGACATGTGTCTGAAATACTTTGTGGATGCTGGTGCTATGGCAGTACGCAGAGTTCTAAAAAGAGATCTTAAACGCATTGCTAAGGCATCTGGAGGTAATTATAGAAACATCTGTGCTATAACTAATGTTCCCATTACTATTGTTGCAGAGGTTAAATATGAATGGTACTGATACTTGATGGACCTATATGTATATATATATATATATATATACACACACACACACAAACTTATTTGATGGGCCTAATTGGGGGTCGTTTGTTGCTAATATATACATAATTTGGGGATTGTTTGTTGTGATGTAAAGAGATGGCTTTGCAGAATATAGTAAGAGCCTTTTTATTTTGTTTTAAAACCAGCCACTGTTTGTTCTACACTGGCAAATCTGGAAGGTGAAGAAACATTTGAAGCATCGATGCTGGGACAAGCAGAAGAAGTGGTTCAGGAAAGAATCTGTGATGATGAATTAATTTTAATCAAAAAGTAAGGACATGCCTATCTTAAAATTATTAATATTAGCACATTTTGCTACATTTCTTAACATACTTCCCATATAATTGCTGCCATGCTGTTTTCAAGTAGTGTGGGCAGTTATACGCGTGGGATAAATTATCCTCAATTCCCAGTAGAGAGTATGGTGGGACAGGGAATGTCTCAGCTTTGCAAAGGGACTTGAACATAATTCAACTTGTTGATTGCACATGCAAACCTAATAACCTGGAGCCCCAAAAATCCTTGAATGGTTTCGATAGTGATTTGTTAATGGAATGCTTGACAAATAATTTAGGAGAAGCCAACTTTCACTTTTGTACCTTTCTGAAACAGTACTAAGGCTCGGACTTCAGCTGCCATAATATTGCGAGGAGCGAATGACTTCATGTGTGATGAGATGGAGCGGTCCCTACATGATGCTCTTTGTGTTGTGAAAAGAGTATTAGAGTCAAAATCTGTGGTTCCAGGAGGTGGTGCAGTTGAAGCAGCCCTTTCCATTTATCTGGAAAACTATGCAACTAGCATGGTAAGTGTCTACTCAGTGTTCAACAAGTATTTTTCTCCCTGTAAACCAGCTGTTGTTGTCAGTTTAATTAAGTTATCTTATTTTGTTTTTAAAGCAGATTAAAGAGAAACTGAAATAAACTTAACTCTTGACTAGTGTATAATATGGGGTAACTGGTGTGGTGTAGTAGATAATGAACTGGGTTTGAATTCCAACTCAGCCATGGAAGTTCACAGGGGAGTGGAACTGGTAAAACCACTCCTTAAATATCATTTATCTTGAAAACCCTATTAGGGTCAGTATAAGTTGGTTCCAACTTGATGGCACATAATACATAATATAAAATTGGACATTTAAAAATCTACATTAGGTGAATCTGAACAAACTTATCATTCCCCATAAAACGGATTGATGTTTTGGTAATGTAATAGAATAGTAATAGAATCTTCTTTTTCCAATTAGGGTTCACGTGAACAGCTGGCTATTGCAGAGTTTGCAAGATCTCTTCTGGTTATCCCAAACACTTTAGCCGTCAATGCTGCTCAAGATGCTATAGACCTTGTTGCAAAACTCAGGGCATTTCACAATGAAGCTCAAGTGAATCCAGAACGCAAAAATCTGAAATGGTAGGTTGCAAAGGAAGAAGAAACATGGGTTGGTAGCATAATCAGTGAATGACAAACTACTGTGTTAAGTATGCAGCTAACAGTGGTAGTTTTGTAGCATACAACTGACAATTTCTTTGAAAATATGTTAAGTTCTTGCTCTAAAGCAGTTTGCGTGTAGCCTTAATGTGAGTACTACAGGAGATGAGCAACAAAATGATGTATGACTTAACTCCTAGTCAGGTGTCAGAAAAAAGTTAATTTGAATGTAGGTGCACAGAGATAGTTTTGCTATTGCTATTCCATTTTCTGTTCTCATCACCTGAAGGATGACAGTCAGGTGCGCATGATTGGGAAACCTGATGCTTCAGAATATCTAGTTATATAGAGATTCAAGGTGTTATGGAAGTTTTTTCTTCAGGCAGTCATCCTCCCAGCAGCAAGCAGAGGGGGTAGATAACTCCCATTCATGTGTAGGGTTAGATACAGTGGATAAAATATGGGGGAGGGGGCTAGATTTTTTCCTGTTATTGTGTGAGAAAATTCAGGAGAGTCTCATGTTAGTTTGAAATTAAAACATGAATTTACTCTGCAAAAGATTACCAACCATTATTTTTCAAATATATATTTCTGTATAAAGCTGATCATTTTTGCTTTTTATTTTTTGAAGGATTGGTCTTGATTTAGTCAATGGGAAACCACGTGACAACAAGCAGGCTGGTGTATATGAACCTACTGTTGTCAAAACAAAGAGTTTGAAATTTGCAACAGAAGCTGCAATTACTATCCTTCGAATTGATGATCTTATTAAACTGCAGCCTGAAAGTAAAGGTGATAAAGGAGGGAGCTATGAAGATGCAGTTCACTCTGGAGAAATTGAAGACTAGTTGTATTTTATTTAACCATTCCTGTAACATTCTTTCTAATGTTCTATTTAGTAGTGTATGTTTAGAGAAAAGATGTTGGACATTTGTCTGGCCAGAAAATAAATGAAAGAAGACAGCCATATTTTATATTTATTTCAACATTCAATACATAATTGAATACAGGGGTTGTAGAAGACAGTTGGGGGTTTCAGCATTGACCACTGGTATTCACAAAAATGTCTTTTACTCTATCTTGGTTCTTCACAGTAGGAATGGACAAAGCATGCTGGGTGGGGAGAATAGTAGACACACTCATAACAGCACTGTGAGGTGTGATTTGCTATTTAAAGATTATCCTGGGAGGGAATGTATGACTCCAAGAACTGTTCCACTGCTGCTACCCTAGCCAACAGAAGGGGATAATAGGTCAACTTCTGGAAGGCTACATATACCTCATCCCAGCTGCAGGGAGTGCTATGGGAGAGTTGTTCCATTTATATGCAGAGTCCTTTGTTGTGCTTCCTCAATATGCACATAGACGGCTGGGGCTTTCTTGACAGATATTTGGGGAAGAAATAAGCATGAGGAGCAGGTGCTTTTGATTTTGCCCAACCTTGTCATGAACTGAGAGAAGACTGTTCACATTTCCGTGCATGTGGCAGAACTGTATGAAAATTCCTGCTTCTGCTTAGAGAAACAGAACAGGCAAAGCACATCATATTCTTGGGAGGGGTCCACTGCTGGCTCTTTTTTTAAGAAAGTGATGCTCAGAGAAGTAATGTTAGTAGGTCTTGTAAAACATTTTAATTAAAATTGAAATGGTTTAGTACAGATAAGGGAAAATAGCCTTTTATCTTTCAACACACATAGCTATGCCCATCCCTCCTCCTATACATAAAGCAGCAACTCCCCGTCTTCCACCTGTTCGTTCTAGTGCATGCACAAGAGTAACAAGGATGCGACATCCTGATGCTCCAAGAGGATGACCAAGGGCAACAGCCCCACCCACACTGTTCACCTGCAACAAAAATAAGAACATTTTATTAAAAGAAAATTATTACCTTTTTTTTCTTCAGTGCTCTTATGTTAAAGCTATGTTACTTATTCAGTAAGTGCCAAAGGCTAATACACAGAACGAGAATGGAAAATCTATGTCTCATGGCAATTTCCTGTTCACCCCTATGTTCTCTCCTTCAATGGAGGAAGAGATTGTGCAACTTGCCACTCCAGGTGTCTACTACTAACTCAATGCAGAGAGGGTGTATGGCAGACGTGGGCAAAGTGCGGCCTGGGGGCCCCATACGGCCCATGAGCCACTCCTATACGGTCCGTGGACAGTTTTGAACATCAAAAACATAACTTTTGGTCTAAAGTTGATCAGTTGCTTAACTTTAACATACTGCAAAAACCTCTTCAGTATTTGTGAAGATTTTATTATTAAGTAAAGTTGGTTCGGCCCCTGAACACAGTTCAGATTTTTCATGTGGCCCCCTATAGAAATGAATTGCCTATCCCTGGTGTATGGAAACATGCTAGTGGTACACTTCTATTGTAGAGGCCTTGAGCAATATTGAAGCATTGCTTTTCTATAATCAACTTCAAGTACAGTGGTGCCCCGCATGACGATAATCCGTCCCATTGAAATCGCTGTTTAGCGAAATCATCGTCATGCAAAAACCCTTTCCCCATTGGAATGCACTGAAACCCAGTTTAATGTGTTCCAATGGGGAAAATACCTTGCCATCCAGCGAAGATCGCCCATAAGGAAGCCATTTTGCGAGCGCCGATCTGTTGTAAAAATGGCTGCCCTGCAAAGCATGGGTCCGGAAAACACAGGGCAGCCATTTTGCGAAGCTTTGATGATCACCAAAAAAAATTGTCTTGCAAACAAACAGTTCGCGAAGCACGGACCTAATCGACGTCCAGCGAAAATCCCCCATAGGAATTACTGTTTGCAAATCGCTATAGCGATCGCAAAAAGTCATTGTAATGCAGATTCAGCATTTAGCGGGGTTGTCTTGCGAGGTATCACTGTACCATTAAAAGTGATCCAATAGCAAGCAGAAGTTTTAACAGTCTATTGTCCACTACTACTGAGCCACCCTTGAAAAAGTGGTTGAAATACAGATGCTAGAAATCACTTTTCAAAATAATGTTGTAGGATAACTTGATGATGGTGAGATACATATTAAACTCTAAAAGGATGGCAGTAAGTTTCCCCAGTTCTCTAGAAGTGGCAATAATCGGTTTTGATTCCTCTATTTAATAACTGCCCCCTGGCAATCTGAAATTTTACCTACACATCATCAGTAAAGGGCAAGCCACACTTACCTGACATGTGTCGGCACTCTGCACATTTTTAAAAATAAATATAGCTGACGGTACAAATATGAAAGATTAATCAGGATCACAGCAGGGTAGCCTTTTCCTCCCCTACTGTGGTCATGACCAGAATGACTTCCCTGAGTTTGCTGTTCCCAGTTGGAGGACATTCTCTTTGGATTCCAATTTAATTATCAAATCACTACCTGCAGCAACCAACAATTATGCTTTTTAAATAAATTTTCAAATAACACATTAAACAGATACATTTAGTATCTTTAAGTTGATCTTAACCTTTAAACTTGGGAGTCTGGCATATCTTTGGCCCTCTAAATGTTTTGGCCTATACATCCCATCAAATCCACTCGGCATGGCAATGCTAAGCAACAGAAGGCATGCCGTAGGCCAAAACATTTGGAGGACCAGAGGCTCCACATACCCACTTAGGCAATGGTGTATATTTGCCCAGGTCCATATATTTCCAGTGCTCCATTTTCTGTTTTCAGTGGAAACTATTTGTAACCCTGCCCTTCACTGCACTGGGCATTGGCTACTGTTGGATCTAGGAACAGAACACAGAATTATTTTGAATGGCTTGTTCCCCATCAGAAAAAAAGAACCAATGTATTGCCCATCCAATAATACTGGATGACTCCAGTATCTGAGGTAACCAGACTTTTTAAAGACATGCAGGACATACCTTTTCCGGGTTCAATTTTAGCTCTTTTATTATTGCAACACTAAGAGAAGCAAAGGCTTCATTAATTTCATACAAGTCTACATCATCCTTAGTCCAACCCGCTTTTTCAAGCTGTAGAATAATAAAAAAAGAAAATTATTTTCATAAAGTTATTAGAAGCAAATCAGCCTCTCATGCCTTAAGGTTTTGGATATGTAACAACATAGACTACAGGGAAAGAACCAACACCAGGGGGCTGTTGGTTATGATTAGAGATGGGCACGAATTAAAAAAAATGAATCGCCAAATTTGTTCAAAAGTCACCTGTCGATTTGGATTCATATGAATCAATGCCCCTGACAAATCACGAATCAACAATTTTTTAGTGATTTTTTAAATTTGTTGATTTGTTGCGCTATAAAACATGCCCCAAGGCACCTAGAGGCACCAAAGTTGCAGGGAGGCTTCCTCTGCCTCTCTACAATCCCTCCAAGTGTGGTCGAGATTGGGTTTCAGATGTCCGGGTTATACACCCACAAAGAGAAGATTGAGTTTCCCCAACCCAGCTGCTAAAGGGCACTTTCCTGGGGGAGTCACTTTGTGTGTGTATAATGTGAATGCCTGAAATCCCATCTTCACCAAATGTGGATGGATTGTAGAGGAGAGTCAGTAGAAGCTTCTCAGTGATTTGGGTCTCTCTAGGTACCTGGGGGGGGGAACTTTCCTGGGGGCAACTTCATATGAGTGCATAACTCAGATATCTGAAATCCAAACCTCACCAGATGTGCAGGGCTTGTGGAGGACAGTCAAGGGAAGCTTCCCTGCAAATTTAGTGTCTCTAGCTTGGGGGTTCATTTTATAGAGTTTTTTAAAAGTCAAAAACAAACTGAGGAATCAATTCATTGGGAACAAATGAAAATATAATTTGTGATTCATCCACCTTGTTGAATCACGAATCAAAACAAATCGTATTTTTTATTTATGTCCATCTCTAGTTATGATTCTACAAGTGGAGTGTTGTCTAAACGTTACTTCTAAGACACTGCACAGACTTAAGTGGTCTTTACCTTTTACACATGTGATCTATAACAGTACTATTTAGGTCTTTCAACATTTGAGCCTTGAAGAAACCTTAGTACAGGCCCTGGGCCTTTCTTCTCCCTATTACTTTCCTGTGTTGAAAATGAAAGGAGCTTGATAACCAGCCTTGCGCAGGTGTTCAGCGTGAAGGTCTGTAAGGCTGTAATGTTGGAGGATGACGATACATGCGTAAGCCCTGTTTGCCACCACCCAAAAATCAGGCAGACTTTTGCATGTACACTGTCAGCTACAGAATGCAGTGGTCAGCTGAATGCCCTTCCAGTGTTTTTGCGCTCTGGAGCCCCGTCTTAGGAGTGCTTCTGCAGACTTTCATGGCGACCCCAAAAATCGACTTTTGCATGTACACTGTCAGCTACAGAATGCAGTGGTCAGCTGAACGCCCTTCCAGTGTTTTTGTGCTCTGGAGCCCCGTCTCAGGAGTGCTTCTGCAGACTTTCATGGCGACCCTTCAACCATCTGCTTGAGCTCCAGGTAGGATGGAGGCATTACTTCACTGCAAGTCACCACCATACAGCCGCCCCAAGTAGACTCTGTCTAGAGGGGCGGGGTATAAATCAGAATGCAGTGGTCAGCTGAACGCCCTTCCAGTGTTTTTGTGCTCTGGAGCCCCGTCTCAGGAGTGCTTCTGCAGACTTTCATGGCGACCCTTCAACCATCTGCTTGAGCTCCAGGTAGGATGGAGGCATTACTTCACTGCAAGTCACCACCATACAGCCGCCCCAAGTAGACTCTGTCTAGAGGGGCGGGGTATAAATCGAATAATAAATAAAATAAAATAAATAAAAACATCATTTGTTTTTATACAATAACCATCTCTTTGTTTAATAAATAAAATAAAATAAATAAAGAAATCTTTTGTTTTTATACAATAACCATCTCTTTGTCTCTTGGTGACTGTGAGTAAAGTATCAAACACCCAGATTGGCTGTTTGGCCCATCGCTCAACTCAAGGGGTGTGTGTGTGTAAAGAAAAGACCTGCTGTAAGGCTTCCAGTCTGCTAACGAGCAATGGCAGGGCTTCCCAAAGGGAAGCATCCTGGCAGAAGAATTAAATAAAACCCTTTCCCAGAGTGAAGTGGACAATGAACGAGGAGCCTAAGAGTCCCGCTGCTTTGTGAGGATTGACCCAACTTTGATCACCCGAGTCCCAAACCAGCACTTGAGCCGCTACAACACATATGTGGTTCTCAGTTGTAGGAAACCTTTATAACAACCCTCAGCAGTCAACTCAAGAGCACCATTCCCCCATTTTGCAGGGAGAGGAAAAGGGGGGTGGAATGAGGGTGCCTTGCGGCAGAGATTTTGGTGAGTTCTCTGTTTTTCAACAGGCTGTTGATACAACTGTTCTTTGCGACAGAGATTTTGGTGAGTTCTCTGCTTTTCAACAGGCTGTTGATACAACTGTTCTCTATTTTTATTTTGTTTTATTTGTAACATTTGCATTGCTTGGCTCTTAATAGTGTTTCTACTGGTATTTTTGTTTTTACATTTGTTTCCAATTCCTAGACTGTTCTTTTGTGCTTCTTCTGTTGGGCTAATTATTTTGAATATTCTTCTTGGAAGGAAAGAAGGGATGGCATTTTTAAAAAAATCCTAAATACATTGAGTAACTTTTCAGGTAGTCAGGAGGACTTCACCACTCCTTGCTGTACCCACTGACTAGCAACAGTAGACCTTAGGTAGAATGGCCAAAAGGCACTCTGCCCGACGAGCATACTTTTTAAAGGCAGCAGAACCTAGCTTTTCTTGATCCAACATTTGATGCAAAAAAAGGTAACCAGAAAGTATCTTCAAGCCCTACCAATTTCCAGCTGCAAAAATTCTCGAGTCACAAACAAGGAGTTCAATCGAGTTCTGATTTGTAGTCCAGGGGTTAAGCACAGGCGGACAATCCCCAGATGTCTGGGCAGCCAGATATAACCTCTCCCTGGATCTTGAAGAGCCATACCTGCTCCCACCATCCCCACTCCAATTCAGATTTAAACTGGGGAAAGCTCAGGGGCTACCTTTGGGCCCCTCCCTGCGGTGGAAGGTTCCAGGTTCAAATATTTCTCCAGGTAGGCATGGGCAATACTTCTGTCTGAAAAGCCTCTGCCAATAAGGATAGATAATACGAAAGCTGAACGGACCAACTGTCCACTTTGACAGAAGGCAGTTCCTTCATGAACATCTGCCTTCATTAAGCCCTGATTTTTCCATTTTCACATACAACCCATGCATGTGACTTTCTTCATGCTCTCTCCCTGACACATGGCTCAAATCTGATTTTTTTTTTAAAGTCTAGATTTCCTGGATGCCCAGTTAAGACCGAGTGATCTTACTGGACCAAATCCTGCTCAGTGTACAGGTTTCATATAAGCTGTATTTCGAGGAAAACAAGCAGGGTCTGACCCTGCTGCCAGTGTCCTACTCACAGCTTTTTTTATTGCTGGGACAGGAGCTATTCCCATCACGGAAGGGTCGACACCAGCTTGAGCCCAAGACACAATCCGTGCCAGAGGAGGCAGACCTCGTTTAACAGCTTCTGCTTTCTTCATGAGAATTACAACTGCAGCACCATCATTTACACCTGAAGAAAGAACAACCACCATAATTGTTACGTTCCCTCCATGGTGAGAGCAATAGAAGCGTGGATACTTTTCACAATATGTTCATTTTCTCCAGGGGATGGGAGGAAATCTTTAGAAAGATTGCTCTCCCATTTGAATATTCGAATCAGTCATAGTGGTTTCCAATATTGGCTCCCTAGATGTCCTTGGACTACAACTCCCAGAAATCAGGGAGAGCACAGCTAGTGGAGAAGGCTTCTGGGAGTTGTGGTCCAAGAACCTCTGGGGAGTCAAGGTTGGCAAACACCAGTCTAAAGGGTTCTTCTTTCTAGAGCAAAATGGAGAAAGCAACTTGCCCAATGAAATTCCCTATCCTCTGCAGGAATACATGGAAGTCTATAAAATATTACAACATGAATCTATTTATGCTGATATTTTTGAAACATAACACTATTGTGCCTTCTGCTCCGCTGCCCTCCACCCAAAGACGTTGCCTACTCCATCATGATCCATCAGGGAATTCTTCCATCCCCATTCATTTCAACAGGGCTTGCATATGAGTAACTCCTAGTGCACTGTGCCTTAACTACTGAGCAAGAAGTAGTAACCATACAGCTCAATTCTATGTATGTTTTTCAGAAGTACTGTACGTCCCACCGAGTTCATTGAGACTTAACCCCTCTGTGTCTCTGAGTAAACATACAGAACTGAAAGGCAAAAGATTTCCAAAAGCAACTTTGGTATCACCTTGTCAGTCTGCGTGCATTTATACTAGTATCAGGAGATTACATGTCCTAACCAGAGCTTAGAAGATTTTCAACTTCCAGAATCCCCTATGCTCACTATATCAGAAATACTAATGTATTTATTATTTAATTTCTTACATTTATATCCCAACTTTTCTCCAATATACTCAAAGGCAGTGTACACAGTAGATAGTTTGCTAACTATGTACGTAACTAAAAGTAACCCCAGTATTACAGATTGAAGGAGATGACTGCCCTAGAAGTAGCATCCTATCCATTTTCATTGTTCATAACAACTGGGACCAAGAGAAATCACTTTATGCATGAGGAAAACGAGACTCTTATTTTAAAAGGCCCTGGGATTCAAAACACACATCATGTCTCGCTACTTAGGCTGGTCTCTATCTCATAAGCAGTTCTCCGGCATATTTTTGTTTGCGCTATTCGTTGCCTGCTGGACTGCCAACCTCTTGGAACACAAATAAGCCATCTTTCTCCCCAATGCCTAACTTGTACAACTCCTAATAGAAACATGTTTCGCTCTCCATTTCCTACTGTATATCTCACCTCTGAAGCCAAATCCCACTTGTGCCTTTAACTTTTATGTTTAATTTTTTTCAAAAAACAAACCTGAGGCATTTCCTGCAGTGACAGTTCCCGTCCCATCAGTCACAAAGTGGGGCCTTAGCTTTCCCACCGCTTCTAAGTTACAGCCATGGCGAGGAAACTCGTCTGTTTTAACTTCCACAGAACCTGCAAGGAAGGAAGCGCTTTAGCACCATTCATTTGACATAATTTTTTTTCTATGAAAGAATCTGATGTTTCTCGAATGCCTACCCTGTCTTTCACGTCAAAACAAGTTCAAATATGCCACTTATTTATGACCCCTTCCCCAATACACACAGAACAATAAAAAGCATAAATTCAAATCTTGGAAAAGGCAGAGTTGTTACAGATGCAGGCAACAGCTTTGCTAGCTATAAAGATATGCCACGGCCACATTCATCCCAGTTGGGGTTCACAAGGAGGGCTTCTTCCCCCGTGGGCTCCATGAATCCTGGACTCTCATGACTGTTTGAACTAGTCTTTATTACAATGGGTGAGGAGGATGCAGAAACTGGCTGGGCACCTCGTTCTTCCTGCCCCGACCACATGCAGGGAGACTTTGTTCACTCCTCTATCCAGCCAGCCCACTCCGTGGCCTCAGTCAGGCCCAAGATCCACTGAACCAGCAGTTTCCAGTCTAGTTCTCCACACAGACCTCTGCCAATTGACACTCTTTAAAAGGAGGGCCAGGAGGATTGGGCCAATATGGGTCTCCAAGTCCCTCCTGCCTCGGGACACTCCATCATAGGCCCTTGTTGTGCCACTGCCTCTGCCAGCCCCTCTTTTGGCTTGGGTTGGGTTGGGGCCAGCAGCCTCAGGCTTGACAGGGCAACCCTGTCTCTATGGGGCTGATCTTGGAGGGGTGAACAGTGCTGCACATCTTCCATGTCCTCTTCCTACAGCCATGTAGAATTGGACCCATTTGCCAGTCTAGAGATCCTCCAACCTCAGTGGGGGAGGCCTCTCTGAGGGTGCAAAAGATGGGAGGAAGCTTTTCTGCCACGTCCGCCCACTCTTCTCCATGTAGGGCAACAACTCCCCCTCTTTTTCCTTCTGCCCCTCCTTTAAGCCCAGCTCCAGCCAACCCAACCCAGCCTCCACCCCATCCCTCAGAGGTGGCTCATCAACCTCGGCCTTCTTCCTCCCGCCTGAGACCTCATTCTTGTTCTCCATGTCCTCCAGCTGCTCTGTTGCTGAGGTGTCCATGAAGTCCACCTGGGTGGTGGGCAGAAAGCTCACAAGGTACAGCCAGAGTGTTCCCTCTCACAAAATGTCTCAGATCTCTGTACTCTGTCTAAGAAGAAATTTGCCTTTTCAGCCCCCACCAAGGCCAAATTTGCCTTTTCAGCCCCCACCAAGGCCATAACAGGCCAACTAGCTGTTCTTCCCCATCCACTTCTGCCTGCTCCTGTGCATGCAAAAAGATACAGAAGCAAAATTATCCTCTTGTGAATACTAGGAAACAGAGCATTGTGTGCCCATTAAACAATGCTTTTCAGTTATTTTTAATCTAGGTCCTCCTCTGATGAAATGTAAAGAGCCGCTGTCCCCCTTAGTAATGTTACACCTAGAACTTCAAATACTACAACAACAAATCAGACAATTTGTACATGGGGGGAGGGAATATAGTACAATCTTTTTTTGTAGGTTTATTACAGAATAACTTAGAGGACAACAAATAAGATAAAGAAAACGTAATTAAGAGTACTATTGAAGTTGTATGGCTGTGAACTAAGGAAGCAATATGGATAAATGTTCCTTCTTGACTATAATATTAAAAATACTTTTTATAAACTATACCCTTCTCTTTGAAATCCCTATATGCTACCACTGGGGCAGGCATGCTTCACTGGTTAAGAATCACTATAATTAAAGCATACTTAGGCCACGGGACTAGAGACTCTCTTTATACTAAGCACTGCAGCAGGACCGTGGTATCTGTAGGGATCAGTCCCAAGCGCACCCCCCCCCCGCATGTGCTGAAAACCATGGATACCAACTTTTGGTCCGTGGCTCAGTGCCAGTCTGTGGCCTTGGCAGAGCTCCCTTCCCACTGCGCACACCCTCACACACACATGGGTGCTCCACCACCACAAGCGCACCCTACCCCCCCACCTGCAAGCACGCCCCACACCATCACGCCCCTTTCCCCCAACCGGTCCATGGTTCGGAAAAGGTTAAGGACCACAGCTATATACAAGTCTCTCATTCCCTCTAGTGGCCAATTCTAGTTATACACCTTGGAAACACATATGTGGTGGGATATTTAATATTTTCATGCAGCGGATAAGAAACATTAGGTCTGATCCCATGGATATGGCAGTCCTACCGTACTTCAGAAGCTTAAGCCAACAACATGGAGATTCAGATTTAAGTTTTTCCACTCTCTTTTTAATGTAATATAAATCTGATTTTTTTAAATGAATCACAGGCTAAAGAAAACAAGACAAAACTTTGGCTCAGACTAGGAACTACTTCAGCAACAGGGAATGTACAGTACAGAAGTTCCGTCTTCAGCTGGCCTACACTAGACCTTGACCCTTTAAACTCAAATACTTCTGGTGTAGGTCAAATGGTTTTATAAGTGGCCACACAAAATGGTCCCTTTCCTTTAGCACAGCTCTTAAACCCAAGCAAGGCTGAGGAGCTTAATTCTTTCCCTCCATTTAGATTATGATCATGTTTGTTTACAGACAGAGGAAAGTGGGAGGAAAACGGAAATAAATAAAGATCACGGTAAGTAATAAAACCTTTAACCACTAGAAGTTACTGTTACGTAGAGACATACCTTTCCTGGAAGGCACAAGAACCGGCACAATCTCTTTATCAAAATAACCAGCCTTCTGGGCATTTTCAGCCCTGTTCTGCGACTTTACAGCCAGTTGGTCTTGCTCTTCTCGCTTAACATGCCATTGCTTGGCTACATTTTCAGCTGAAGCAGGAAAAGAAAATATATAGTTTGTCATTTTCATCAGGATGCAATAAGTGTAACTTTATAGTATTCAACAGCTAGGTTTGCTACACTACAAAAATCGGGGAAAGGCATTTCATCACAATTCACGCATTACAGAGCTAGACAATACAGCACAAGGATATCTATGCTATCACTCAACTACTGTTTGTTAACAGCTATTGTTAAAAGTAATTATCACTACACTTTTTTCATTCCATTCCTTCTCTGATGAATAAGTACATCCTCCTCACCTACAAGCATGTATATGATAATAAAGCAATGGACGGAGGCAACCCTCCAGACATTTCCACAAGACTTAAAATTGTTTTTACACGACTGCATCTGTCGCATTGAAAACTCAACAATTCAACTCCAATATTCAATGTTTCTCTACCCATGAGACTGCCACATAGACATTTTTTGAAATTTATATTCCTGTTGCTTAAATATACTGTACATGCAATAGTATTGATGGAGAAACGTGAATTCTTAGGACTGTAATAATATTTATTTATAGCTTTCCTCCAGACTCACATAAACATTCTGTTTTCAAGAATTATATGCCTTACCAGTTATGCCCATGTGGTAATGGTAAAAGGCATCTGTGAGACCATCGAGGATGATACTGTCCGCCAAGGTGGTTTCCCCCATCTTTACTCCATTCCGCATATGAATGACATGGGGTGCCTGCAAACAAGCCAATTTGACACATTTACAATTCTGAACACAATTGGGAACATGGCCTCTTCTGGAAAGCTCTTAATTACTTCATGGTTTTTCTATTCATCCTATTCACCCCAAACTAACATAGTTAGGCCAATAAATACAGATTACTAAAATTCAGAGATTCTGGAGCATCACTGTCATTTGACAATAAGAGATAACCCAACCTTGGGTAAGTAGATGTCCACTTGCTCAACAGGAAGTCTCCTCCTCCAACTGTGTTTGTTACTCACTCACTCATTCATTCCCCACTTTTTTTCTTCAAGAGGACCCAAAGCAGGTTGTAATACTAAAAACAAATAATATAAACCTGGAAAGGGAGGGGATAAACAACAAAGCAACAGACAAATAAAAATAGCCTAGCACTTATCCAGCCAGCCAGTGAGAAAAAGCCTGTCTGAAGAGAAAAATCTCAGCCTGCCTACAGAAAGAGAGCAAAGAGAGAGCTGGCCTGTCCTCCCATGGGGGGGGGGGGGGGG